CCCCTTCCCCATCACCCACCCTCCCTAGGCCCCACCCACTGCCCCTCCCCAATCCCTCACCTACCCTCCCTCATGCCCCACCAGGGCCCCTTCACTGCCCCCTCCCCCATCCCTCACCCCCCACCAGACCCCCCCTTTCTCTCCTGGGGGAGATTGCTCCGGGAGATGAACCCAGCCGGAGGGAGGGACGTGCCCCACGCACACAAGGAGGCAGAAGGGCCCAGGAACAGCGATTCTTTATTTAACCCAGATCCAGGCTGTTAGCTGTGCAGTTTCTGCTCCTCCCCACCCTCCCCCCAGAGTATCTTTGCCCTGCAGGGGCTGGCACTGCCCCACCCCATCAGCTCTCTGCTTTCTGCTCCTGCTCCGCGCCCGGCTCTGGCAGCTCCTCCGGCTGGCTGACGGGCTGGGGCCCGCCGGGCACCGGCTCGTCCGGCGTGAGGCTCTCTGACTTGCTCTCGGCTCCCTCATCAGCGGCGCTGCTGGCTCCCGCCTCCTTGCTCTTCGCTTCCTGGTGTGGGGTAGGGAAAGGGGGCAGACAAGACGCCTCATGAATGGAGACCCCACAGCCAGACAGACCAAGGGACCCATTGTTGAGCTGGCTTCTAGCTTTAACTTCCACCCTGACCCTGAAGAGGGGATCACGTCATCCCCACCTGGGATCTCTTCAACTGCCCCTCACTTATCCTGGGGCACTCCCCGCCCCCCCTCCAAGATCGCTACATCAGCCTTGGTTTCCCAGCCTCAGGCAGGAAGGGGAGGGGCCAAAGGCACTGGGCAGGCCCTTGGCTCCATCCTTTGGCCAATGAGACCAGTAGGGCTGGAGCAGCCCTGCCCCCAGGGCAGGGTCAGTGGCTGCACAGGGGTTCGGTGGGGGAGCCACACTGACCACCAGGGGGCAGGGCCCCTGATGCTGCAGTGTTTGGAGAGGACCCCCTCGTGGCCAGAAGAGCTCTCCGTACCCACCTCTGTGCTGGGGGACACTGGGGGCCAAGAAGAAGTAGGAAGCTTTGAGGTCAGCGAGGGGTTAATTGGACCCTGGCTGGGTGCAGCCCTGACTCCATGCACGAGCTCTGCCAAGCGCCCGTCCGCCCCCAGAACGTACCTTCGCAGGTAGGGGCCCCTCCACGCTGGAGTCCAACAGGGACCCATCTCCACCTGAACCCTCCTCTTCCTCCTGCATGCTGATGAAGATGGTGGGCGTTTCCACCTCGGGACCCTCCTCCCGGAAGTCCATGGGCTCCTCGGCGGGCAGCGGTGCCAGGGCGTGGGCAGGGCGTGGCTGGCTGGCCGGCTGCTTCAGTTTCTGCTCC